GAAAGAGTGAATATGAATTTTTCCTTCAAAAGCTAGCAAACATATATCTTTCTCCCTGAGAAAATGTTTTTTCTTAAAAATATTTCTTTTACCAATTTTATTATCAAATAAAAGGAATTTAAAATTAAATTTTTTTGAAAAATATTTTCCTCCAATCAAATGGACCCTTAGAAGATAAAGGAAAAATGTAAATAAAAATATTTTATTAAGAGCGTCTCCAACCTTGTTGCTAAATCCAAAAATATAGTAGAAATTTTAGCAACTTATTTTTGTATTTTTCCAATCCAAGGGAAGAGGTAATTTATAGAAAATTTGTGATTTCAACCAATACACTTGCTATATATAACAACTTTACTTATTTTTTTTGAATGTTATTGACTCTATTACAATATATGTAGTATTTGTTCATACATTTTTCAATATAATGACATACAAAGAGCCAACGTCTCTTGTTATTATACACATTTCCATTCATGGTTGGAAGGATATCTAAATAATGAATTGCTAAAGTACTATTTACTTGCAAAAATAACATTCAACAACTCTTTTTTAACAATTCCATTGGAGATGCTCTAAGGAAGTTGTAAAATGTTTTAGAACAAATAAAGTATAAAAGAATTTAATATTCACTATTCACAAGATGAGTCGTTGGACAAAATATTACGAGTAGTCTTCAAACTTGTTATTGTCTAAGATATTTGGTGTAGTTTTAAAATATATATTCGTTTGAAAAGCTAATAATATAACTTATCCGTTTAATAACTTTCATGTAGTTTAAGAAAAACAATTGAAAAAATTTTATGATTAAAATTTATTCAGATGAGAATTCAATATTCACGATTCACAAGATCAAATCTTGACATTTTCTTTACTTTTTTTATTAGTCATTTGATAAAATATTATAGCTAGCCTTCGCACTTCTTATTTTATAAAAAAATTTAGTGTAGCATATCATTAATATATATAATCGCTTTGTCTCAAAAGCAAATAATTTTATCCGTTTAACGTTCACATAGTTTTTATTGAAAAAACTATATGATTAGAATTTATTTAGAGAAAAATTGTGTGAGCCATTTATTCATTACTAAAAATAGTAAGTAGAGAGTATCTTTAAAGACAATAGAAAAAGAAAATGAGCAAGATTTTTCTGGGAGGCTGAGAATAAAAATTATTTTAAAATTTACATCATATTAAACAAATGAGTAAATATAATTTTAATCAAACATACTACTCACTCCGTCTTATAATTAATTTAACCATAATACAATTTTTACTTATATTGATTCAAAAATAACCTTAGTCGAGCTAGTAATTCCGAACATTAAAATTTTATTGGGATGGAGTAGAGAAGAGCAATGCAATGCGGGTAGTAACTAGTACTCCCTAAGACTGTGATGTGTGGTTTTGATTGATTTTATTGGGTACACTTAGCTCCCACTTTATGCACTCAAATGAAACTAATTAAGGACCTATTCGTTTACTAAAGAAAAGGGACCTTTTCGTTAAAGTCTTTTTTTTTTGGAATTTTTCGTTAAAGTCTTTGTAGTTAACTTTTTCTCTTTGAAAAATCAGGGAGAAATTTGAAATTTGGATGTCCAACGAAATTCTTGATGATGTGATCATGTGTATTAATAATTGTGTATCATAAGGATTAAGGACTAAAAATCATGTGTATCATAAAAGAATGATACAACGAAATTTGTTTGTTGGAGTAATAAGGATTAAGGACATTTATTTCTTGATTTTTCATGTGTATCATAAAAGAATTTCACATTTTTAATTTGTTTGTTTGTACAAGAGAATAGTTTCTATTACTTTTTTATGAAAGAACTCAATTTGACAATTTCTCTCTCTTTTACCACAACTTAATCCAAACAATTTAATAGCTATTATGGAGTAATTGTTATTAATAATTGTTCCCGCACTAAAAAACGTTGGTGATTTTAGTGTCATCGGCTATTTTGTGTGATTGATATACTTAGATCAGACAAGAATTTTAATACTCCGTATTAGACATTGTCAAACGAGTTATGAGGCGCGGAGTGCGCACTCGTTCAGCGATATTACAAATTCATAGCGGGGGTCCAAAGGGCGGCAGCCCCTGGCGTGGTCCAAGGGGTAGAGCCCCTGGCTGGGTCCAAGGGGCAGAGCCCCTGGCCGGGGTCGAGCTGCCGGGACACCTTAGAAATTTTTTATTTTGGACATTATTTTTTTATGAATTTTTCCTGAACGGAGTCAAAAACGTTAAAAGATTTGGACCTGTGGATAAACGCCAAAATAACCCTTAAACCGCAAGAATCCATTCACGCGAACATTTGTCTCCTTAAGCAAATATTCGAATTTTTTAGACTTTATATCCTCACGTGAACGTTCGCTTCTTACGCAAACATTCATGTCTGGTCATCAGTTTTCGACTCTATAAATAGAGACCCGTAGGTATGGTTGAGGCATTCGATTTTCAGTTCTTGTTCTTGATTAACGTCTTATCCGATTAAAGTATTTCGTATACCCCGAAATAACTTTGATTTGAAAGTGTTCTACGCGATTCGTTATACTCTATCAAATAATTCTTCTCAACGTTGCTCCGCAACATTCTTCCTCCTAATTACATTCCAACAAAAAAAAATAATTGAGCCCTTTCAACTATGTAATCTTACTTCGGGCGGATGAGGCAAGAAGGTAAACAAATGTTTTAAAAAGGTGTTAAATATATACTATATTTATGTTAAATATATATTCTATATTTATTGTACACATATTGTTTCATATTGTAGAATCCTACCATAATTAGGATTAGGAATAGCTTGTGTATATAAACACATGTACTCCCACATTATTGTTTAAGGAAAATCATAATTCTTCATGGTATCAGAGCCATAATTTTCAAAACCCTAACCCTACTTCTCTCCCTCTCTCTCGGCGTGCTCTCCTCCTCCAGCCGCACAGCCGCCGCCACCTTTCTCCCTCGGTGGTCTGTCCTCGGCAAACACACAACCCCAACGTCGGCGAACCCCCCTTCCTCCCTCGACATGGCTTGCTCCGACAAAAATACAGAAAATTCAACCTCCTCCTCCTCCAATCCCCCTCATCTAGCTTTCACCACGATCTCCAACGTCAAGCTTCATGTCCCGATCCAGCTGAGCTTCTCTCAGCCCAATTACAAAAAGTGGAGCCGGCTTTTTCTTCTCCTAGTGCGCCGGTTTACACTCCACAGTTTTCTCTCGGGTTCTTCGTCTCCCTCCTCTACCGATGATCATGAATGGTACCAGCTTGACGCCCTGCTCCAAGGGTGGATTCTCTCTACTATTTCTGACGAAGTCTCAGATCTGGTCATCTCCACCACCTCCACTGCAGCTGAATTATGGTGGGTTATTCATGCACTTTTTCATGATAACAAGCATGCTCAGGCGATGCAACTCGAGCACCAGTTCCGAACCACTGTCAAAGGTACGATGACCATGGCTACGTACTGTCAAACCCTGCGGAACATTGCCGATTGGTTGGATGACGTCGATGCCCCGGTCTCTGAGTCTCAACTCGTGCTTCAAATGCTTCGGGGGCTACCCGAAGATCTCCAGGCTCAGACATCATTCCTTCAATTCCAACAACCGCTGCCCAAATTTCTTCAGACTCGATCCGCCCTCCTGCTCCTAGATCGGAAACGGAAAAACATCGCGGACGACGCCGGGACGGCCCTCCTGGCCGACCGAACCAGGGGCCCACATTATGGCACCAGCAGTGGCGGCTTCGGGCGTGGCAGTGGAGGGCCTGGCAGCGGGCCCAGTAGCGGCAGTGGCGGCCGCGGACAGTAGGGGCGCAACTCCGGTCGTGGTGGAGGCGGCCGTGGACGTGGATGAGGAAGAAACTCTGGCTTGCAACGACACCCGTATGACGGCTACGTACCTTGGAACTCACCGCAACCCAACCCCAGCTCGGGTCTTCTCGACCCGCGCCCGCCCAACCCTACCCACCCAAATGCCCATGCCTACTACACCTACAACCCTACCCCTAACCCCTCACCCCACCCCTACGTCCAAACAGCCTACCCAACCCCAACCCTACCCACTTACCCGACAGACCTAACCCACCCACCACCCTACCCGCAAACCCCACCCCACCACCCGCAGGCTCCCAACCCCACCCCCACAGCCCTAGCACACCAATTTGATACCATGACCCTACAGGAACCAACATGGTATTTCGACACGGGAGCCACACATCACATCGCCTCCGATCCAGGCACTATTTCTCATGTCTCTTCTCAATTCTTAAATTCTCCGTTACATATTATTGTTGGCAATG